ATTTTTGATATCTTTCAAAGAATCAATTGTCATATCCAATGGCTTGAACAATAAATTGCTCCAGTGAATCTATTCTTGACATTATCAATAATTAATTTTTGATATTATTTTTTAATCCATATCAAATTTGATTGATATAGGCTTTGCTATCTTAATCCACATCAAAAGTAAGATTTTGAGTTCAACAATATATATAGTGATTGAGCATAATCCTTATTATAGTGATATGAGCTTGGTCTCTACTATCTTTTTTTGATCATTTCTTCCAAATATAGCCATATATACTTCCAAGAATGAATTTAAATTATAGAATAGTTGTAAACATTTTTTTGTCAAAGATGCAAATAAAAAGAGAGCACTTCTTAATAGAAGTGCACCTATGAATCCAACTTGTGTAAATCCATCATAATATTTGAAAAGATGTAAACTTTAAAAAAAACTTAATCTGTCATAGAAATCTTCAAAATTTTGATTTTGTTCCATCAAACTTCTCTTGCATATTAATCTTTATCTCCCTTGTGCTTGTAGAAGCAAAACTTTTTAAATTTAGTTGTAAAGTTGATCTACTTACTTCTTTCAACTGCATAACTTTTTGGTGTAGACTTTGGAGTTCTAAAATTTTTTTCTATAGATAATTAAAAAATATTAAAAATTAAATTAGAAGAAGATAAACTACAACCTTTAATATCAAATAAAAATTTCTACAAAAAAAGATAATCCATTTTCTTTAAGAAAAAAATTAATGTTAAAAAATTAAATTATTTGTTTAAAAGTGGATAATTTGCAACCTTCAAATTATAATAATAGAAGTAGAATAATTTATTCATTTTTTAAAAAAAAACAAAAATAAGAAGTTGGCACTTTTTTCAAAATATCAAAGACATGAATCTTAATAAAAGAAAATTCAATTGACTTTTGTGTCACTTAAAAAGATTAAAAATTTATTCAAAGATAGTAATATATTAAATTAAAATAGCTATTAATAAAGACAAAGTACTAAAAAGTCTTGAAATAAGACTAAAAACTTATAGGGCATTAAGAAGAGTGAAGAAGGCTTCACTCTTGGCTCTATATATACTCTCTAACTAAAAGTTATGTAACAATGTCGTATAGGACTTTCAACATGTGTTGACTTGACTTGCAAAGGAAATTTTCTATATGTGTGCTACATAATTAGCTTGTTCTACAAGCTACCAACATGTGTGGTATGTGGTCAACTTATTGACCAAGATTTTAACCTACCAATCAATTACAAACACATGTAAAGTCAAAACTGCATCTATAAAGCTTCTAGAAAATTTTTCTAAAAGTTATTATGAAATTAATCTATGTTTACTTATTTCTATTTCGTCATATAGTTAATTATTAGAATAAATATTCATTTCCATGATAAAATTGTAATAAACTTATCAAATATATTTTAATATATGATATCAAGATGACTTATATTAAGCATATTTTTTAGCTATTTATTTATAATAGATTATTGATTTAATTAGTATGACAAGTAAATTATGGAAAATAAGATACTTGTTCTTAGTTCATAAAGACTTATTAAACCTTGTAGAAGAAATAAAACTTCTATGTTAAGAAGGTGATTTTGACTTAGATACCAAAAATAATATAAAAAGATTTGAATGAAGGTATAGAGAATATAATATGAATCAAACAAGTTTTGGATTATTTGGCATATACCAAAGGATGCAAAGATTTAAAAGAGGTGGATATCGTGTGATAATATGACTTTATGGTAAAAAATAAAATAAATATGGATGTTATTATTAAAGAGCCTAGTAAAAAGATATAATAGAAAAACAAGGCTAAATGATAGAAAGGTAGTACATATGGAGGCACGAGAGAGGCCTTTCTTACTCTTTTCAACACCTTTATTGTTCTTAGTCTTGATTATGAAGTCTTTAGTCTTATGGTCTTTGGCAATAGCCATTCTAATCTTAATATTATACTTTCTTTAAATAAATATCTATTTTTTTCTAATGGCATAAGAATGCATTGAGTTTTTTTTTTTTTTTTTTTTTTTTTTTTTTTTTTTTTTGTAATGATTGACGTCTTTAATATTGTATTCTTTGTGAGAATAAATTTTATCACTCAATCTAAATTACAAGGTAGCATTAACTAAAAATTACTTATAATTCATAGTTTGAAGTTAAAGAAAAAAAATAAGAAAAAAAAAAAAAAAAAAGACAAAAAGACAAAACAAAACAAAAAAAATAATAGAATTGCAATAAAGCAATTATTCACTATAAAACTAATTATGGTTTATTTATTAGGTATTTATCTAATAAAAAAAAATTATTATTTTTTATCTTTCCAATTACATGGAAAAATATACAAATGTAAGTTATTATGATTATGTTATGGAGGTTTAAAGATACAAAACAAATAATTAATTATTAAGTGAATATGTTTTACCTCAAAAATAACTAAATTAAAAAATAAATAATTTGAGCCTCATTGAGGCTTAAAAGGAGTGTATAAGGATATCCTAGAGAAGCCATGAAACCTTAGATTTATCCTTCTACCTACATCTAAGGTGCTACAATTCATATGGAATATGTATACATATATTATTTTTTACGATTTTAATTTAATTTGCTATAAATATGTATATATATATATATATAATTAAAATAATAAATAAGTTTATTGTGAATTTTTTTAATCAAAAATAATTATATCATATAAAAGTTTAAAAATATATTAATTTAAGAAAGATAAAAAAATTATCAAAGTTATTTTATTTATTTTTGCATAATCTTGAAAAATATATAGTTTTAAATAATTATATTGATTATTCTTAAAGATTATTGATTATTTTTGGATGATTATTAAAAAAGATAGTTTGTAATAGAAAAAATAAAAATAAAAATATGTTTTACAACTATAAAGGTATATTTATTTTAGAAATATAATAAAATTAATATATTTTATATTTTATATTATATTATATATTAATATAATATATATATTATATTATATTATATATTAATATTATATTATATTATATATTAATATAATATATATATTATATTATATTATATATTAATATTATATTATATTATATATTAATATAATATATATATTATATTATATTATATTATATATTACAATATAAGACAACTATAATAAAATGTAAAAGTTTTTAAGATATATTTCTTTACTTTGGAATTTTAGGATTTTTTTGATTGACATTTGTAAAGAACCATTTGATATATATATATATATATATATATATATATATATGCATAGCTGTTTTTATTTAATTATATTTAATTATAATTTTAAATATATATAATATTACATTATTATTTTTATATAATAATGTAATATTATAATTATTTTTATATAAATTTTAAATATATAAAATATTAAATTATTATATTATATTTTATTCTATGTCAATAACTTGCTTTAACATATGATTTTAAAACCAGAATTGTATATTTTTAATGCAATCACCTTAAACCACATTTCTACCTTGTCTTTTTTACAATAGTGATGTCACTTTTAAGTAAAATTTCTTTGTTTATATTTTACACTTTATGTTACTCTTTTAACATTGACATAATGTTCATAGCAATCAGCTTTTAATTATCAAAGTGACTAAAGAAACATCCAAAAATACTTATAGAATTTCTTATATTATTCATTTACACCACTTAGACGGTAGAATATGACTTTACTTGCTAAGTTCTAATTTATTGCGATACTTTTATTTCAAATAGACACTTAATTATTTTAAAACGAGTTAGTTGAAACATGTCTTAAGTATAAAAACTTTTGTAGCAACAAAAGGCGTCAAGATCTCACATTGTAGTTTTAAAATATATTCCCAACTCTACATTTGCATCAAAATAAGAATAAAATATTGTTACTTTAATAATAATACCTAAAAGGCCATAGAATATATAGATATATATATATATATATATATACATATATAATATTAAATATTATATATATTTTATCTAGTTCAAAAATATTAAATATTACAGTGATTTATTTATACAATAATATACAACTGGTTAATAGTTTATCAAAAATTTGTACTTGTTATAAATGTCATATACACTGATTTAGCTTGTATCTCAAAAACATTTTATTCAAAGAATCAGTTCTTTAGAATAAGTGCACCAATGCAGTATGTTTGTGTATCCAGTTTGGTACCAAATTCCAAATCATACTTCAACCATCCTTCAAGTACTGTAATTAAATCATTCCTGCTCATTGAACTGTAAAATAAGTCATGATACAAATGAAAACCTGCAGATATTTAAACATATATCTATCCATCTAAGACTGTATTTTTCTAATGGTTTACCATTCTAATAATAACCTATTAAGCAGTCAGATGATAAAAACAACTGCATTTGTGAAAACACTTAGTTAAATGAACTTGTACATGATGGATCAGACTTGCAGTTTGTGGGAATAGTTTCTTCACGTATGATTCTGAAATCTCCTTCTGTAAATAATATCAATAATCACATGAATAAGAATGATAAACTTTTCAAAACAGATATTTATTGATTCTGATTGTGCAATCATACATTGTAAATAACACTCATGTAATATTTTTACTTTCTTCTTCTCTAATAACAGGTGAAGATCACATCACAATTCGTAATTCTCTCAAAAGTTATTGAAAACAGGTGTAGAGATATGCTAAAAAACTGTAAAACCCCCCTCCCAACCATTGCGCACGAGTAGCAGAGCCTCTTCCCAATTCGTCGCCTGAATCAACATCCATCCACGCATATACACATCCATCCATAAGATGAAAATGCACTCGCATTCCCGCGCCCACCCGTCTCCGGCTGGCTGTGGGTGTTGAGGTGCATTGTTGGAGTGGTGAAAATAGCAAGCTTACGTCCTCATGGATGGATGATAAACATCTGTTAAAAACTCTGTCCATCGTGGAGCACCAGCAGGGGTGGGGCATTTCGCTTATCTGTCTGTGTGACACGCTGCTGTGCTGTGCTTTGGCAGGGAAGAAGAGGAGGGAGGAAGGAAGGGAGGGAGGGAGGAAGGAAGGGAGGGAGGGAGGGAGGATGTTGTGGGTTTGATGGCCTCAATCCCAACCCCAGCGTCCACTCCTCAACCCTCCCTCAACTGGCTTCTCCGTCCCGGTGTCCGTCTTCTTCTTCATCATCTTCATCTTCTATTTCTGGCTTCTGCCTCCTGCTCTCGCTCCTCCTCTCAACACAGCACACAGCTCCTCTGCCCCTCTCACTCTGCTCTTCTCTTCTCCTCTGTTTTGTCTGTCTACCATGTCTACGACTGGGGCCGTCTTGGGCGTTATTCGCGCCTCGCGTCCCACTCTTCGATCTGCTTTGGATCGCGCTGCTTTTGCCCTGCACGCCACTTTCTTAGCCAATGGCTATTCCCTCGTTGCCACCGGCACCAAGGCTAATCCCTCCTCCGCTCCATTGTCCGCCCTGCAGGACGAGCCCGAGGTTGGAATTGACGGCTGGGATGAGATGCCTGGTGCCTATTCATTTCGTTATTCTGGAAGTGGCCAACCCGATCTCTTGCCTTCAATTACCGTCAATTGCATTGCTATGGGCGAATTTCTCATGGTTGATGCAGTGTCATCGGGATTGGATACTCCCGTGCATGCCGAGATCAAGTTAGCAATTGGCCTCCTCCTCTTCTCTTTGTTTTTTGTTCCGTCTTTTTTTTTCGTTTTTGTCTTGTTTTGTTTTGTTTTGTTTTGTTTTTTTTTTTTTCCTTCTGCTATTCAACTCTACAGATTCTTGCCAATTTCGTATTTTTGTCTTCTCCTTGTCCAGCCACCTGAGTGAACAACATTTGAACGTTGATATACCCCCCACGTTTGTAGCTTCTACTGCAATCTTCTCTATCCAAGTGGCTCTCAGAAGTCTCTTTCGCCTTAGTCATCTTTCAGTTCTGTTATTATTATTTTTATGGTAAGCTATAATTTGCTCGTTCTCTCTAATTCAAGTGCTTCCGATTTAATCGCAGGACAACCCTCTATGCAGCTGATGGAGATGCAGCAGGCAGTTATAACCAGCAGTACACAAACCTTGAAGGCTTGGTGAATCTTGTTAACTTGTCCATTTCGAGTAAACTTTCTCCCAAGAAAGAGAGTACATCTACAAGAATGTTAGTTTCCGCCCTTTACCACTTCACGCACTAAATTTAGCATATTATCTATACTGAGAGTGGTGGACATTGTTTCGTAGGTGATTTTCTTTGCATTAGCATGTCAAGTATGCCTTATCGTGATACTGTGGTATTCTTGTACACCTGTTGTCGTTTTACGAAAAGTGTTTCAAGTTCTGGTTGTGTTTGCACTTGTTAATCAATATGAAATCCTTTTGAAGGCAGGGTTAGCGCAGACTCAACCACAGGAGATAGACGGTCATCCGAAATGAGTACTTCACTCAGGGATGACCGGCAGCGACCTGGTGATCACAGGTATTTAAATCAGCTTGTTTACATAATAAATGCGTCCTGTTAGCTTTTAGTCATGGTTGAAAACTATTAGAGGTATTTTTATTGTATTTATTAAGTTTGCAAAAGAAACAATAAACATTATTTGGATCTTTTGAGATGTACTTTCACGTTGTAAAGCAGGTTTTCGTATCCTCAAGTACCTGGATTTGATGGGGGCGATCTTTACCCATCTCCTGGAGCTGGGATCTTCGTTCCCGGGTGAGATTCTCTCTTGATTTATCTTCTGCTGAGTTTTCAAATTCTTATAAAACTGAGTTGGATTTCTGTGCATGCGCGCGAATATATGCACACAAAAATTTGGTAAGCGAACTTGTTTCGCGGGACCTTTCTAGTACCATGCACGTTTTTCCATATCACAGCACAACATCCCAAAAAATGACTTTTTATGTCGAAGAAACCCTCTAGAGTTTGTTATTTATATCTATGTATAAAGGAAGTTTTGATGGTGCAATGCAGTTAAGGATAGCAACTTGATTAATGTGTTTCGAATATTGTCTGTTGTTTTCAGTCACAATCTTATTATGTGCAGTTTTCAGTGTCCTCTAGGCACATTATATCTGAACTATCCACCTCACTTTTAGGTCGTATGTTTATTGCAGTTATCTTAACCGTCGCTTTAACATTGTCTCGGTTATTGCAGCGGGAGTCCTTTTGGAGGGCCCGGAATGCTAGTTGGTATGTGTTTCTAACCTCAACAGAATATTATTTTGTGTTATTTTCTTGTACAAAGTTAAGTTGGACCTTATGACTATCAACCAACGGATCATGATCTAATAAGGTTCTGGCCGTTCCTCTGTGCAGGCCCGAATGACCCGCGATGGGGTCCAGTGGGAGTACCTCGACCAGGGCAACCTGGTTTTGGTGGTGATTTTTCGTACGTATCATTTCTTGCCTTTTATGGCCTCTTAAAATATTTTCATACATTTGTATACATAATCAGTATCTGATTACACTGAAGTCAATTTATCTTTGGTCAGAACATATTTAGATTTAACGTTCAGCATAGTTAGCCAGCAGTACTGCATGATCCTCAAAACGAAATGAATCTAAAGCAACGTTTGGCTCGCTACTTTAATTGGTCATCGTCACTGAAAAGATATCAGGTTGCCCTGATTAGATGTGAGAGTTGTTAACATTCGACTACTTTAGCAAATGGTTTGAGGCAACCTGAAGTCATTAATTTGTGTTCAAGCAATAAGTATTATCACAGTGGGCTTTACATATACATCTCTATTTAATCCTACTGTCTAACTTTTCTGTGGAGAATTATCTGTGATTGTGTCTGCTTATCAAAGTAAGCCGAATTGAACAGCACAATGAACTGATTCTGAATCTGTACGAAATTTCTGCTTCGCAGAGTGCCACCGGGTGCCAGGTTTGATCCTTATGGACCTCCAGGAGTTCCAGGGTTTGAACCAAACCGCTTTACCAGGTAATGTATAATTTTCTATATCTTCATGTGCATGAGTTTCTTTAGAGGTTTGAAACAAGTGACACCTCCCCAATGTTGGAGTCCGGTGACTAGCTACTAGTTGGAAATATTCACTTGATCAAAATACGGGCGATGTTGTCTAAATTATTCTGTACCATGCAATGTTTGCAATAGCTCGCCCTGAAGATAGGTTGGAGATTTTAACTCAAAATTTATCTCAAACTGGCCTATATGGTGTGAATACTCCGTGTAGTAGTTGGTAGGTTTTGTTCGGGAGGATATTTGTTGCTTCATACGATATATGCATCCATGTGAAAAACATGATATCTGGTTTTGCGGTGTAGAAGTGAAGGAATTATTTGTCGATCTCGACAATCCTTATTTTCAATCATTAACCAGTTCAGATAATTGGACACAATCGTTTGCATTTATATCGGTTCTGCAGGAATCCAAGAAGACCGCCTGGGGGTCACCCCGATTTGGAACACTTCCACGACTCTTAGAGGAAAGGACTTGTACATGAACAACCCCTTTTGACCTAGACGTCTTAGGCGATGATGCATCGAAAGTGACCGAAGATGCTGTGAATCTAAGAGATTCGACGTCCTCATTTTCGTTGTTATACATATGTGATATTTTGCATTTTTGCACTTTTGGATTTTGAATAGACTGGATGAGAACTCTAGAACTTCCATATTATCTAAATCAAGTTGGTTATACTAGAGATATCTGAATACAATGGTTTTGTAGCATAGATAATCGTCGTTTATCTAGTTTTATTATTTGTTCATATCACGAGTGTTTTTGGGTTGGCTTTTCTAGAGTAATTCTTAGTGATAGTATTTTATGTACGTATCAAATGAGGGAGAAGGGTCCTTTGTTCCAAAATAGCATTACAAACAGATTGGATTGTATGGTTTAGGACTTTGTGGCAATTGACGGCATGATTACACAATTTCACCATACATTGTTGGTTCGGAAATTGGCGCTTGTACAGTCTTGGATACTGGAAAATTTCTATGCTGTTAACTGTGGGTACAGCTCTGAACAGAGCAGTTCCAACTGTAAGTCTACATTAATTGTTTATCATTCTGTACAATGTCCGACGTGAGTGTAATGTTCCAATCATTTTAATTGAACATGTATCGATAAGTGAATTCACTGTGTGTGGACCATTGAACTTATGTAAAGAAATTCACAGGCGAGGAAGTAGTCACCAGATAACTGTGGAAGTCACAAATTGGTCAACAGATGTGGAAGCTACAAAAGAGATTATTCACACATGCTGAGACCTATATTCTAGGATAATCGTTAAGTCTAGCGACTTCGAACTCCAACTTTCGTTCTTTCCTTTTCAATCGACACAATTTTCAGGACTAAGTTCTCATCCTGCTTACACCAGTCTTCTTTTAACAAGCAAGTCCTTGGTTGTATGTTGATGGAGTAGACACCGTATGGTTCAACGGAATAACGGCTGCAGAGAACCTCCAGGGCTTAATTGATACCGAGCCGGTAGACCCTTCTTGCTCGACATACAAGATTATCTTTAACACATTTTACACAATCCCAGAAAAAACAGCCATATTTCAGAAGATAAACTGCATCTAAAGGGGAAGAGGATAGTGGAACAACTGTACCGGCTAGGAATCTGAACCACCACCTGTGAAATTTCGCGAAAATACAAAATCCAGAAAGAACTGAAACGGATGCAATTTTAATCACCAACTGTAAGTGGTATTTTTCCCATGAAGGGCAAACTAGAACAAGAGAAAGTTATAATTGTAATGAGGTGAAAGTTAGCAGAGAATAAACTTAGAACGGTCTAAAACTTACGAGGTACACAAGACATCCTTGCTTACCTTACAAACGAAATTCAATAATCACAAAGTGAACAAACCTTCACAAGGCGCCTTGATGACGCAGTATATGATTCAGATACCATGAAGTAATTTGAAACGAGCTAGACACACTCAAATGAAATATGAAGATGCTAGTATCAGAAATAAGTTCAACAGAAACCAAGCGAAGATACCTCCGTGCCGAATCTGTTACCATTGTCCTCGACCACACCTTTCCAGTTAGACAGACATTCAACTAAACTATCTACAAGAGTTATAACGTAGTATGATTACCACAAACTTTCCTTCCTGGTAGGAATAACTCAATACCCGATAATGTGGCATCACTTACAAACACATCCGCATAACGCAATTAAGACTTGAAGAAGATGAAACGTTTGTCAGCCCATCAGGAAAACTATTAACCTGACTATAACTTAGCAAGTACATTTTTACCAGACAACACTACCTGCACCACATCTTCCCGCCAGGAACGCCTTGAACTCATCGTCACTGAAGAAAGATCGTGGAATGCCATTCGCTGCATGTGATTTTGAGCACATTTGACCCAAGTAGTCCCAAGGCAAATGCATGTCTACTAATTAGACCATAACAGTCCAATTCTACACTGAGGGTTCTCACCTCACTTACACCATTCTACCTTTGATACATGGGCCCCTGATTGTATGTCGATGAAATTGGAGGTCTGGTTGGTCCATTAGAATACTGCTGCTGCTGGGTACCTCCACTGCTTGTTTGATACTGAGCCTGCCCTCCATTGGCACTCGACATATACTGAGACTGAGCACCCGAGCTACTTGAAGAGTAAGACTGTGGCACCAAGCTGTTGTTCACCGAGTACTGCAGCCATATTGAAGGTTGAGACATTGACTATAAAGGGAACATGAAAGAGACATAGAATTCTGAAATACAATACAATAAGAAGTAGAAATAATAAATAAAAATAATTAATTAATTTTAAAAAAACGGATATTTTATGGATCACTTTGAAAAATATCTTTCAGTTTTTCAGTCACGAATAGTTGCCATAAATCACCTATTCTATGACCACAAAAGGTTCAAAATGAAAGAAAAAGCCAGAGAAGAAAGTATATGTGACAAGAAAGTAAATGAGTTAACAGATGCGTGATATCGAACACAGTATTTAACTCTATCTATAGTCCGCTCCATCCAACTTGACAGACAAGAGCCAAACCAAGTCCAGGAGAATGCTTCAGCCAATTTTCTACTGCAGCTAACCGCTTTTTAAGCATTAAGTCCACCAAAAAGAAAAGGAATGGGAAGAAAAGGAAGGAAAAGAAACGAAAAGACTGGCCAGTTTGACTGATTTATGAATCTTAAATTAGCTTAGAGTGGCGGAAAGCGAGAAGAGGATTGCATTAACCTGTGGAGCACCATTGCTGGTTGAGTACTGTGAGGGGCCATTATTATTATAATACTGATTGGAGCTACCACCAGGGGGTGGAACCACTGGAGGTCTGTACGAAGGTAATGCTCCACTTCCATAGCCTGATATGCACATAATTAAGAAAATTATATGAACAGTTGTCATAGAGCATACAGTCATGTACTATACATGGAGAGTTACCCAGCATTTCAAATAGGCTTCTTCAGTATACGACGAGAAAAAAAAAAAAAAAAAAAAAAAAAAAAAAAAAAAACCACTCACAAAAGGCCCATGGTCGATGTGTAGCAGCCTTTGGTAAGACTTCACATGCAACAAAATGTGGTCGGGATACAGAAGTGTCTACTTCACTTCTTGAAAACGTCTAATAACCACGACACACCACATGTTTAGTATGAAGACAGCTGGTCAATTATACCTGAAGAAGGTCCAGATGGAGGGGGCAGAACAGGAGGCCGTACAGCTGCCAACACGGGAGGTCGTAAAAGACCTGGGGCAGCCATTGGCTTGTAACCGCCTCCTAGAGTTGCCAAATGTGAATAAACAGCTCCACCAACTTGTTGTTGTGCTAATGCAGCTGCTGTCTGCCCTAAATGTTCTTTCACTTTTTGATCAATTAGACTTTGTGTCTGTTGCTCCTCGAATTGCTGGTAGTATTGCCGCACATTTGCCTGAAATATAAATGAAAACATTAACATGATTGACCATGCTAGGCTACTGCAACCAGTGTGTCCGACTACAAGCAGCAATGGCCCATAGTAAGGTACTACTATTATGAAAACATATTCAGAGCTAGACAGCTTAGTACAGCCGCATACGTATAACTTGCGCTAAAAAGGGAGAAATCATCTCACCTTGTGCTTGTATCCTGCACAATGTTGTTTTCTCACCGAAGGCTACATTTGCGTACACATGCCACATCCATAAAAACACTCATTCTCAGCATGAATGCATGTTCATAGATTATCACAACATTCAGGAAGAGTCTCTGAGAACTAGAACTCGAACTATTGTATTTGAAAGACAATATTGAAAACATCAAAATTAATATTTTTGAAGAACATACTGTAAATCGTTTATTTCAGAAAAATGATATAGAGATTTATTTATTTATTTATTTTGCCAGAGAACAAAAAATAAAGAACTTCTGAAAAGTAGTAATATCGATTTTTATAAGACACCCCTACAAGTATGGTTAATGCCGAGCAGCGGTTTACTGACGAGATTTTTAGTCAGAAAGGCCAGCAACAAACCTTGGTTTACTACCTCCTGAACATAGGTGGATGCCTAACTGCTACTTCGAATTATAAAACACATTCCTGCATAGTAGTCTAAAAATACTTTTCGTTCAAGGCCAAGGATTTGGCAAGGTATAGACAACTTTAACATATAAAGTACATTATTGCAAAGCACAGATGAATCAGCACGGCGTCATCTGATTAAAAGTTTACTGCTAAAATAATTAATCGCAAACGTGATTTGGACTAAAAAATGCTACTATCTGATACATTTTCACAAGGTTTGAGGAGACTCACAGAGTCATGAGTTAGATGCGTGTCGCAGTAGTCACAGTAGTACCTGCACAAAATCAAGAAACAGTGTCTTCCCGCGTCAACTCGTTGAAGATGTTCCCGAAGCCAATGAGAGAGGAAAGACAGCGGATTAGTCCCCGTTTACTTCCGTGGACGATTTTCTATACAAACACACTACCATAATCAAAGTAAAGACACTCAAAGCAGAGATTTACAGAACCCTGAATGTAACACTTTCTCAAGAACTAACAGGCTCCGATGAAGGATAAATGATTAAGATCATTAAAACCTAAATTTATATTTTGATTTGCGACATGCAACTATCAATCGCTGATGGACTTCAAAAGTTAAAACCCACTTCGAATAGCACGTTAGGTCGTCTATCCACGAACAAAAGGAAAATAAATAAATAAATAAATAAATATGCAAAATAGGTATCCTTGAAACTGAGATAGGTGCACCAGAAGACCGGCCTTACAAGACTCGAGAAGACTAACCTCGGCATGGTGACACCTTCCACCTAAATCGCAATCACCTACCCACTCGAAAACCCTTTTTTTCCCTCAAGTCGAGCACCGTCTCCACGCTCCAGGTATAGCGCAGAAGAAAGCCCGAAATTCCAGACACCGCAAACCTGTTGAAAACAGTCAGTCAGTCACGATTCCTGATGACGACGCACGCGGGTGTGGCAGCAACACAATGAATGTCCCGGAGTGGAAGAAGCCCTGATGCTAGCTACCGGCACAACCCACAACCCACAACGACACTCACTATTGCAGCAGCAGCAGCAAAATGAGAGTGAGAGACCAGCGGAGGGAGAGCTCCGGCAGAAGGCTCCTCCTTGCACATATTCTCTCTGCGGAGGTGGGTAAAGTTAACGGGAAAAGTAAAAGGCAGATGTCGGAGCAGTGGAACAGGGAACTCGAGCTAGGTTTGTTTGTAATAAATAAGGTAATAAGGTGCTGTTAGAGTCTGTCTGTCCGTCTGTCTGTCTGGCTTGAGGTATTGTCTTGTCTTGTTTGTGCAATTTTTGTGGATGCGGCGCAGTCTTTGTTCTAGCATTTGCCTCATCCAGTGCTCACCATCTTTGTTTGTTTGGCCTTCTTGTCCACTTACTGGGTTTTGCTGAAACGTGAACGACGTGATGAACTCATCCTCCTCTTTCTTCTGCAGCTCCTGGGCTTTCTTCGTCTCTCATCTTTCTTCCTTTCTTTCTCTGTTTCTCTTGTTGGGTTCCTTCCCTTCTTCTCGATCCCCACGGTTTCTTTTTACGTCTACTTGTTCGGATTGTGCTCTCATTTTTTGATGCCCCACTAAATTCTCTTTTATTTTGTCTGTTCCTCTTCTGTCTGAAGGGATTAGGGCATTAGGGCATGAAAATGTTCTTTTAGGATGAAAAATTAAATTAACCATGTAAAGTTGCAAACAGATACATTGACAAGAGTCATTTGGTTTGTAATAAACAAATGTGATTGTTAAATACGTGAAAGTTTTTTTTAATATATATTTTCACATGTATACGAATAAAATAATTAGATGTAAATAAAAATATCTAAATTTTCATTTTATTTTTAAAGGCATATTTTAATTTAAAAAAATAGACTTTGAATTAGTAAAAAACTTAATTTAAATGTACTATAGAAATTTTAATATATTATTGAGTTATTTAAAACATTGAGTTTTATAGAATAAAAAATATTGAAGATATCTATTCATTTATATTCAATAGATATACATAATCATTTAACCAACTGCCATTATTGCAATTATTTGGTACTAAGAAAATTATTTTTATAAATTATTCTAAATTGAGAACTTTAAATCATGTTTAGAAGTAGATTTATTTTGTGATTTAACGTGGTAATTTTGAAAATTCAAAAACACAAATAATTATTTTTGAAAATATTTTTTCTAGTCCTGATACAAAATCATCTATTTTTAATATTTTAAATAATAAAATTTGGTAAAATAGTTTATAATTACCGAATCTGAGTTTGAGTATGTACAAGTTGGATAATTGGTAATAGAATTTATTGATAATGATCACTGTAAGACTTTCGGAATTTAAAGTTGATAGAATTTTTCAATTGTAAATTTTCGGAATTTACAATTGATGCTTTAGAAGCTTAGTTCTTGTGTACAAACATCAAAATCAAATAAATTTCTTTATTAACTTTAAAATTTGTAGCATCTAATTATCTTACATTACAATTCTACTGTTTTACTTAAATCACAATATCCTATTATAATAATTTTGTGACATAATTAAAAATAACATAAATACTTAAAAATTATATGTTATATTTTGCAAATTTTTAAAAACACAGTGATCATTCTTTGATTCATAGCTATTATCTATGATTGTGTTGATGTTTGTTTACTTTTTTAAATAAAATTAATTCTTGCATCAGCATAAAATTTATGTTTATATTATAATTAAAATTAATAATTTTTTTTTATCAAAACAATTATGTGTATTAAAATAATTTAAGTTATTATTTACTATATTTTTAAAATATATTTTATTTTAAAATCTAATTTTAACTAAAATTGCTAGGCTGATATGTAATTAAAATTTATATCATAGCTAATCATATATTCTATATAACTTGTAATTTTATATCTTTTTTAAATTCTTTAATATAACTTATAGATTTTGTATATATAACATATTTATATAAAAACATACTTTGAGGTTTTTCTTAGGTCTATTATTATTTTTCTATGTCCAAAAATGAAATTCAATAGGTTTTGTAATAGATGTATAATAAACCACAATTTGAAGCAATCTACAAGATGTTCATAAATGTTTCAAATTCTTGAAGAAATTTGTATTACTTTTTGTGAATTTTTAGAAACCTCAAAATATAATGTATTTTTTTATAAAATTTGAAAATTTTATATAGTTTTATAAAAGATTTTAATAATCTTTTATATTCTTCTACACTTTTTAATAATGTTCTAGTACCTTTAATAATGTCTAAAAGTTTATTATACTTGTATTTATCTAAATGATTTATAATTTGTAGAATCTAATATAGAAACTCCTATGAAGACTAATTGCTATAATATAAGTATAGAAATAAAATGAGAGATGTTCTAGTCTTACTAATGCAAGATTAACTAATAATACAAAGTACCTTTATTTTATTTATATGTATGTATGTATATATATATATATATATATATATATATACACCATATTAAAGATATAGATTAAAACATTATAACTATCCAAAATATTAGTTTGGAAAAAAAACCTTTAGAAACAAATATTTTAATAGTCTATAAATGAAAAAATATATCTCATTAATAATTAGTTAATACATCCTTTTAATTAATATTTTCGTTTTTAGAAGATATTACAGCAAAATCATGGACGAAAAAATTTACTGTTAGGCATAGATATTGTTTTGCTAAAAATTGACCAAGTTTTATTCTTTCAACATACACTTCAAATCAAATTAAGTCATTTTTTGATGTTATTCTCGTTAAATGGTAAACAAATTAGTTTTGATTTTAATTTTATATTATTATATAAATTAATATCAAAGTAAAAAACAAAAATACAAAGTAGAGTAAGCAAAAAATATTTTTTAAGTATTTTTTTTTGTTACAAAAGTTGTATGCTTGCTTGTGTCACTTTTATTCTAATTTTCATAGAAAAAATTCTTCTTTGCTATTTAAGTATTACATTCTACTTCTTTAAGAAAGAAATAACATATCAAAGATTAAAAAAACTAAAGTTTTGATTTATTTATTTATTATTTCATGGATATATTTATTTAGTCTTTGTTTTAAAATTCTCAAAAATAAAAACAAATTTTTGTCATTAATCTAATAGCTAGATAATTTTTTTAGAGAAATAAATAAATAAATAAATACCTATATATAATGTATTTTTAAACTATTATCTTTGAAATAATCAACAACCATTTATTTGATTTATATATTTAGTATGTATATATATTTATATACATATATATATATATATATATATATATATATAAATTTCCAATTAAAAATAATGGTTATAAATATTTTGAAAATTCTTTAAAATTCAATCCATATAAATAAATAAAATATATAAACTATAAAGAATAAAAGATAGAATTTTAGATATTTAAATTTATTTAGAATTATTTTATAAGAATTAATAAAAAAATATTTTAAAATTAATTTAGTTAAATTTATTAAAGGATTTTTTTATTTATTTTAGAAAAAATTTTAAAATTTTAAAATTTTTTTAAAAAAATTATTAGTTATTTATAATATTTATTGTCAATTAAAAATATAATTGATAAGTAAATCTTTCAATTTTTATAGTCGAATTTGTAAAATACCATAAAATCTCTCTTTTATTCTATATTTAAGTCATTGTTGTCATGAATTTTATTTTTTAGATCAAATATTTTAAAGTAAAAAATAAAAATATTTTTAAAAATAATATTATTAAAATTTAAAATATACTTGAAGATGATTTATTTATAGTCTCAATTGTCTCTCTTATTTTTTTAAAAGACAAGTACTTGTTCTAATTACATTTTTATTTTCAAATATTAATAATTGTATCTTATATTGAAGCAAAATGATGTTTTTATTCAAATTTAATGTATATTTCATCCATTTATAATTCAATATAGGTTCTTAAAGGATATACTATTTATTTTAAAATAAAATCTAATTTCTAAAATAAGATTTAAATATATTATTACTTTATACAAGAATTAATTACTAAATATTTTTTTTATTAAAATATTTAAATATTCAAATTTTTACTATATTTATTTTGTTAAAAAAATCTTTATGTTAAAATTTGGGTTTTGATGAAGTATATATATATATTTATCTATTTCTAATTTTTTTATATTTGAGAATATTTTATTATCAAAGATATTAATAAACTCTTACATCACAAAAAAATAATAAATTTTTATTCAAAGATAGTATAATATTAAAATTAGAATGATTCTTGCTAAAAATAATGAAATTAGATACTTGAAACAAGACTAAGAACAGAAAACACATTGACAAAAGTGATGAAAGCTTCACTCTTGCATCCATATAAACTATTTAATTAAGATGTATGTAAGAACATTTTATATGACCTCATACATGTGTCTAATTTAAGAAACACTTATCTGACTTATAAGATAAGTTTTCTATATGTGTGCCATGAGACCAACTTGTACCATGAAAATCCAACATATATAACACGTGGTCAATTTATCAATCAAGTTTTCAACCCAAAAATCACCTATAAATACATATAAAGTAAAATTTACATCTATAAAATATTTAAGAAGCTTCTTCCTAAGACAATACAAAATATATTTACTTTTTTTTTATTTCAACTTAATTCTTCTTTTGTAGGTAATTATACATGATGGTTATGTCAATGACATAACTTCCCTCCCTCCCTCCCTCCTTCTCTTCCCTCTAAGAATAAGTTCTATAATGAATAATTATCATATGTTGAAAAAATTCAAAATGCAATAAATTATATTTGATACATACTTTGATTTTTTATTTTTTTATTTTTATTTTTTTATTTTTATTTTAGAAATGATAAATAAATTATGTCAACTAAGAATAATATTCTACATTAAGGCAATTGGAATGGCTATTGTCAAATGACAAGGATGGCTATAAAAGCTTCTTAGATAAACTTATAATATCTTCTATAAAAAGAAACTAGAATAACTATTGCCAAATGACAAGGAAACTAGAGACTCTTAAATCTAGACTAAAAGCAAGAAAAGAGTTGACAAGAGTGAAGAAGGCTTCACTCTTACCTCTATATATACTATCTAACTAAGAACTACATGGTG